TTGTTGGCCCATAGGATGTATTTACCAATTGGGTAATCCTGAAAACCCCCACATGGCTGGCGCTGCTCCGGGCATGGCCTGCTGATCTACATACTCAGAAGCTTGCCCTTCTTACGTCTCACAATTTTTCTTTCCCCCCCAGTGGAGAAGGGATCATTCCTGGTTTAATTTCTCCTAAAATGGATCTGGAGTCAAAGGTTATTGCTTCCATGTGATAAAGACTATCAGCTAGATAGATGTGGTAGCTTCTACTTATTACAGACTTACTACAGGCTAGAATGTTACAGCTGTTTCTTATTACATGAGTGCTCACAAATAACCAGCATTTGGCAGAGGAGAAGGGTCTATCTTACATACACGAGGAATTGCAGATGTGAAGCTCCACGAGGGATTCGTTCTTGCATATATAAGGGCTGCACAATAGGGAAAATTCTTCACAATAACGAAAGTGGTTTATTTCTTTTAAAACTCCCACTCGAATTACAGAGGGTTGAAGGATCCTTGACATTAGAGAGAGGGATGATATTAAAAGCAGATCAGCTTGCGAGTTGTTCTCTAAGTTCTGGTAAGGAACAAACAATACCTAGGAGAATGAGTCGGAGAATCTGTGTCTCATGTGAGTAGCATAATAAGATTCTATCAATCACAGCCAGGTGTGGGAGCACACACCTTTAATCCTAGCATTTGGGAGGCAGAGGCAGTGATCTCTGTGAGTTCAAGGTCCTCGTGGTCTATTTGTGAGTTCCAGGTCAGCCAGAGTTACACTGTGGGACCCTGTGCCAAAGGAAAGAAAAAAAGAAAAGAAAATATCTATCATTTTTTTTTTACTTCACCTTGACATTTCAATATGTGAGTGTATGGGTATAATATATTTGAGCAGTAATATATTACTACAGTAGGATGATCTTTTTTTATTAGATCTAACTTACTGTACCTCCCTGCCACCAAGGTATTTTCTATAAGTCTCACAAAGCTTTGCTTTCCTGGGCTGACCTGGCTTGACACTTGCTTGAGTATGGTCATGTGACATGCTTTGGGTTGAGCTGATATCTACAATTCAACAAGTTGAGCAAATATGAACAGAAGTGATATGATGCAGTGCTTGCATAGTTAGGTCTGTACTCTCTCTCCTGGCCTTTGCCACAGCCAAGAGACAGGCCTGTAGAAGTTCGAGGGACATGAAGTCCAGTTCCCTCCTTTTAATCTTTATACCTACCATCTTTAATCCAGCTGGGCTGTCAGACATGAGAGTGAGGGTTACCAGATGAAAAGAACTTGTAGTTTAAACAGACCAGATTAGTTGCTCACAGGCATTTACCTATTTATTTATTTATTTATTTATTCATTTACTGGGGCAAGATCTCACTGTGCAGTCCTGGTGGGCCTGGAACTTGCTATATAGACCAGCATGGCTTCAGTCTCACAGAGATCTGCCTGGTTTTGCTTCCTAAGGGCTAGGATTAAAAGCGTGCACAGCCACACCTAGATTAAGTTGCTCACTTTTATATTCATGCACTAAATGAATGCTTGATTCTTTAAGTCATCCAGTGTTGGCATGGGTTGTGACATGCCATTGCTGTGGCAGTAAGTAATTTGTAACTTATACATCATTTATAAACAAGCAAATGTGTATGCATTTGGGGGTTGTGTTCAAGGTTTTAGGAAAAAGTATATGTGCTCAATAAAATACTCGTGGGCCAGTTACTTTTAAAATCCCACTTCTTTTTTTATTTATTTAAATTTTGAATAAGCGTACAGAGTAACATGTTACCTATTGTCAAAATCCCACTTCTCACCTTCTTATGACTGTTTAGTTATGTAGATTTAAGTGAATTTCTTTTCATGGTTCAAACTTGAACTCAAGGTCATCTCATCTCCAACATGACATTTCTGTTATACCATCAAAAAAAAAAATTCTACCATCCCACCTGCTCTCTATCCTGCTATCCCATATGTTTTCTCACACCAATATTAGAAATGATTACATTTCTTTCTGCACTAAAATGTAAGCATCATAATGGAAAGATACCCTCCACTCACCACCCATCATTCAGTGCTTAGTGTTTAGAGTATGACCTGGCATACTGCGTGTCCTCAGGGAGGAAGATGGACTTCTGTGCGTTATTTTACATCCTCTCACTTTACAACTACGTCTAAGAACCAGGGCACTTTGTATCTATCATTTCATGGTGTTCTTTCCTCCTTGCTCTCTGATAATAAAATGCCTAAGTACATAACATGCAAGATAATCAAAGTACCAAAAAGAGCTGAGCTTATAGCATCGGTTCTGAGGAACGCCACAGTCCTAGAATAATCAAGGAAATTGTTCCTACTGGGTTCTTAGGTTTGCCCGGGGAGAACACACGAGTTATCAGTCACTTGTGCACTTCATAATGACTTGTCCTGTATAAATCTCAGAACAGACTGGATAAAGGTCACTGGTATGGGGTAAGGTAGGTTGAAAGGGGAGGTCAGAATATGTGAGATTTGGTTTGTAAAAACCGTGTTTGATAAAGATAAGGGCTCTATACTCCAAACCCCTCACATTGATTAAAACAATAATAGGTAAACTATTTCACAGATTAAAAAAGTCAATGGTGATTTAACTTTTGTTGTGAATTTTTTTTAAAAAAAATTCACTGATTCTGAATAAAATGAATTCATTACCAGAAGAGAAAAAGTTTCACTTGGCATTAATTAGCACAGGAAATTAAGTGATCAATGAGCATTAACATCAGAAATATTTTAAAGGTGAAAATTCAGTATCAATAGATCTACTAAAAGTATTTATATTAGTATAGTTAATGTAGCACAAATATTGTGGGCTAAAATGAGTTGGAAGCCCCATAGTGCCATGGCCTGTTCACCATAGCCTTTTAAGATCTTTGGCTGAATGAAAATTTGACTTTAAAACTTTGTATTATCGGGCTGGAGAGATGGCTCAGGGGTTAAGAGCACTGCTGCTCTTCCAAAGAACCAGGGTTCAATTGCCAGCGCCCACGTGGCAGCTCACAACTGTCTGTAATTCCAGTTCCAAGGAATCCAACACCCTCATACCGGCAAACCAATGTACATGCAATAAAAATAAATAAACGAAAACCTTTGTATTATATTGTCAGCATGTGGATTTGCTGTTTGTATTTCCACTTCAGTCACCTTTTAAAGTAAATGTCATTTGCTGGGGACAAATCATCCTCCAAGAACTCCATCTGTACACATGGTTTATCTACTATGGAGATGACCTTTCATCATTGGAATCTGATCAGAGCAGCCGCCTCTGACAAGCTTGCTCAGAAGAGCCTAACAGCGCCCTTACTTTCAGCTTGAAAGGGAAGGAAGACACAGTGAGCTGCAGGGGACTTCAAGTCCAGCTTCCTCTTGTAGAGACATGGGGATGAGGAAAGTGAATGGTGGGCTGACGGAATCATGGTTAATCGCTGGGATCCTGGAGGCTAGCCCCTTCTGAGTCTCCCATCCTGATGTCGTGTTCTGTCAGTGGCCCTGGGGTTAGGTTTATCTCAGAATTTTGTACTGGACTGTGTGCTGACATCGTCAATGTGGATGTCATAAACATCTGCTCTCATTTGCATTACCATCTGCTTTAAAGGAGGAAAACGAAGGAGCTATTCAATTCTTCCTCATACCAGCAAGTTTACTCGCTGATCTGAGGTGAGGTGGTTTGTATCTTTCAGGGATTTATCTAGTATACCAGAAATAGGCATTTTAAGTAAATGGTATAGATTACTATAAAGAGTCGAGCCGGGCGGTGGTGGCACACGCCTTTAATCCCAGCACTCGGGAGGCAGAGACAGGCGAATCTCTGTGAGTTCGAGGCCAGCCTGGGCTACCAAGTGAGTTCCAGGAAAAGGCGCAAAGCTACACAGAGAAACCCTGTCTCGAAAAACCAAAAAAAAAAAGAGTCGAGTATTCAAAACAGTGATAAGAAAAAGAGGTATATTAACAGTCACATTAGACAAGGTGTGACAATGACCGAAAGCTTGCAAGGCACAGTGGCAGGGCAAGGAAAGGGTGTAGAAGTTAGAGTAGGAGGGACTTACATTTTATCCCTGGGTATCACCTCCAGCTGTGCGCCTACCCCCACACTCTCTGGACCCCGGCACCTCTGGTTATAAAATGGGACAATTACACTCTCTCCTGGAAGAACTGCAGTGTAGTTAGAAGTTAGATGCATCTTTCCACACTCAGACTTAACTAGAACAAGAGGCAGTAAGGTCTCAGTTAGGATCAACATTGTTCAGCCAAATCTTACCCCCTCCTAACATATCTATAGTGTCCTTCAAACACTGAAGCCACTTCTTACTTGTCCTCTTAAAAAGAGGGTGACAACAGCCATTTCTTTGTGATGTTTAAGTAAAACCAGCTTATAAATCATTTAGGACACTAAGTGTCCAATAAGTGGCGACTGGGCAATGAGGAGGCCTATTGTATCCACAAAATGTGAATCATTTCTCACTTTTCTTAAATTCTGCCTGCCAAAGATTTCTTTTTTCTTCTTCAGGTTTTGCTTTTGTTGTTTGTTCATTCTCTCTCTCTCTCTCTCTCTCTCTCTCTCTCTCTCTCTCTCTCTCTCTCTCTCTCTTTGAGGTGGGAGGGCCTCAAGTAACCTAAGCTGGCCAAGGCTGGCCTTGAATTCCTGACCCTCCTCACTCCACCTCCCAAGTGCAGGGATTACAGGCAGGATTCATGCAACACCTCATCAGCTCCCTGTTAAGGACTTTCAGATCAAACCTGGATTTGAAAATCTTTAGGACCATGTAAAATTGAATTAGTAAACAACAATCTTGATGTCATTCCAACTTTAAAACATCTGTTCAGGTTGTTTTGGAGGCAGCCATGTGGTACAGAGGTGCATTATCCTTTAGCCAGACCTGAAAAGGTCAAGAGACAAGCTCGCCAAGGCTGATGACTAAGGAAAGGGAGGGGCAGAGTACGTCGTCCTGGGAGAAAGGATGAAGAAGCGCAAGCGCCATAGTACTCACCGCGGCCCACCACCAGGCATGGAGGATGCTGGTGAAGTTGGTGCCAGGCACATCGTGCTCTACCGAGTAGACAGCTGCAGAGAAGGAGAAGATGCCCATAGTGATGAAGAGCATCAGGCAGCCCACCTGCTGGTAGCACTGGCGCAGCGTGAAGCCAAAGGCACGCAGCCCGGTGGAGTGGCGTGCCAGCTTGAGGATGCGGAAGATGCGCATGAGGCGCATGATGCGCAGCACCTGGCCCACCTTGCCCACGCGCCCCACGGTCTCCAGGTCATGTTCCATCGGGGAACCCTTGCCACCCCTCTGGTCCTCGCTCGTGAAGCACTCAAGCAGCAGCTGCAGGTAGAAGGGCAGAATGGCCACCAGGTCCACCAGGTTGAGGGCGCTGCGCGCGAAGCGTCGCAGGTTGGGGGTGGAGGCGAGGCGCAGCAGGAACTCCAGGGTGAAGAAAGCCACACACAGCATCTCCACGTGCTCCAGGATGGGCCTCGGGTCCCCACCACCCGTGCCCTGCTCGGCCTGGTGCTGCATCTCCTCCACCGTGTTGAGCGCCAGGGCCACCACGGAGATGAGCACGAAGAGGTTGGAGGCCACCCCCATGGCCTTGGCGGCCACGGAGGAAAAGGGCTTCTCCATGAGGTTCCAGAGGCGGCGACGCTGCGGCCCGTAGAAGCGCATGTCCCGGAAGAGCTCCTCGGCCTCCTCGGCCTGTGCCTGTGCACGCAGCTCCCGCTGGATCTTGAGCTGCTCGCTCAGTTCGTCCCTCCGCTCCTCAAAGCAGATGCGACAACAGCGTGGTGTGTACTTGAGCCTCACGCCCCAGTAGCCTAGCTCCTCCAGGAAGCTGCGGGGACACAGCTCATCTCTCACCAGTAGCACCCCGGATATGTAGAAATTATAGATGAGCTGGAAGACCGCGGGGTCACGGTCAAAGAAGTACTCGTCTGTCTGTGCCTCGTAATCGTCGCACAGGCCCAGCTGGCAGCTGCGGCTGGTGGAGGTGGCCAGACGGCCCAGACGCGTTTTGGGGTAGTTGGCTAGCTCGCAGCATTCCAGCTGGTAGCTGTGGCCGCCTACGTTCACTTTCAGCGTGGAGAGCTGGACTGGAGTGTCAGTATGGCCATCCAGAGGGGCTGTGGAGCACTCTGGCTGCTGGTTCTCCTCCGCAAGGTCATCCTTCCAGTCCTCTTCCTCCTCCCCGCCGTCCTCATCTTCCTCAATGTAGTAATTGTAGGTCCACGGTGGTGTGATGCTGGCCTGAGAGCCAGTGCGGGCTCCCAAGGAGCAGATGCTCCTGCGATGTTGGTTGCTCCTGGTGCTGGGCACCTCCTCGGTCTCTGGAATAGTCCAGGGCTTGTAGCTCAGGGACGGTCTCCTCTCGTTGCTCTGTTTCAGCATGGCTGTGGGAGTCAGGCCACTTGCCTGTGGCTCCTGTTTGTCTGGGGTTCCTGGTCTGCTCACTGCCGGTGGAAGGACAGATAGAGTGCCCTGCACTGTCTCAGAGAGACCAGCCTACCCGGGGCCCCAGACATTACCCTCAAAGCTGTTCTTCCTCCTGGCCTGGAAAAGCCCAGGCTAGCCTGCCAGATCTGAACACTAGCGGCCGAGAGGCATGAGTGCTCTAATCTTGCTGATAGGGAAGAAGCAAGTGTTAGGAGGGATTTGGGGCCTCTTAGCCAGTTCTTCCCCCACCCCTCTGACGTGGAGGGTGATTATGTGGTCTTAAATCTCCAGATAATCAGAAGAAGGCAGAGATTATTGCTAATAAAAATGTCGGTCAGCCTTGCCCTGGGGAAGTGCTTAGGGTATGTGTGCTGAGCGAGGTAAAATCAACTGAATTGGCTAGAGAACATGGACGCCCCTGTCTTCATCGTTCAAGTTTGAGATTGAAACTTCTGCCCTGAGGAAACCCACTGTGAGCAGTAATGACAGCAAAAAGCTGACATTGTGACTAGCCAGTTTATGACCCTTTGTTTAGATCCTCTAGAATTATTTTTCTTCTACCGGAAATAGATTTTTTCCACACAATATGGTCTAATGGTTTCCCTCCCCCTACTCCTCCCAGTTCCTCCTCCCCTCCCCTCCCATCCAAATGCACACCCTTTCTGTGTCTCCTTAGAAAACAAACAGGCATCTAGAGAATGATAATAAAATAAGACAAATAAAAACAGACAAAGAAGAATACAACAAAATGACCAAAAAAGAGCAGAGACAAACACATTCGCACACACCAACATTCCATAAAAACACAAAACCAGAAGCCATAATAGATACGCAAAGGACCTCTAAGGTAGAAAAAAAAAATGCCCTGACTTAACATTATGAGACAAAGAACCTCCAAAGATGCCATTGAGATAGTTTTGTGTTGTCCATGTACTGCTGGGCATGGAGCCGACTCCTCAGAATGGAATCTCAATGAGTCTCCCTCAGAGGAAACTAATTTTTCATTTGCAAGTGGCTATCAATTGCAGAGAGCTTCTAGGTTAGGGATGAGGGCATGTTCCCACTTCTCCTTTGCTCCAGGACGCCATCCGGTACAGACCCATGCAGGCTCTGTGCATGCTGCCACAGTCTCTGTTATTCATATGAGCTCCAGTCTTGTGTCTAGAAGACCTTGATTCCTTGGTGTCCTCCATCTCTTCTGGCTCTTACACTCTACCTCCTCTTCTGTGAGTTCCCTGAGTCCTGAGGGGAGGGATTTGATGGAGACAATCACTTTAGGGCTGAATGTTCCAAGGTCTCGAACTCTCTGCACATTGTCTGGCTGTGGGTCTCTGTATTTGTTCCCATTGGCTGCAGGAAGAAGCTTCTGGAGAGAGCTGAGCAAGGCACCAATCTATGAGTATAGCAGGATGTCCTTAGGAGTCATTTTATTGTTACGTTCTCTTAGCAAAACAGTAGTATTTGGTTTTCCCCCAGGTCCCTGGCCTATCTAGTCTCAGGCTCTTAGTCACCCAAGCAGTGTTGGGTATGGGTTCCATTTCATGGAGTGGGCCTTAACTTGAATCAGATACTGGCTGGTTATTTCCACAAGCTCTGTGCCACTGTTGCATCCATTCCTTTATTCTTGAGAATTGCATACAAGAATGCAATGGTATATGATCATATCTACCCCCTCCCCATTTCCCCTCACTTTGTCCCCACAACATGACCCCTTCCAACTTCATGTCTTTTTTATATTATTATTTACTGTATTAGGTATTTTCCCACTGCAGTGGTGAACTGCTGTGGCCAAGGCAACTGACAGAAGAAAGAACCATTTCTTATGGTTCCAGAGAAAGAATACATAATGGGAGGAGGGGCCGGGGTGTAGGAGGGCAGAGGAGAAAGCTGGGAGATCACTTCTTCAACCCCTTGCATGAAGGAGAGACAGAACAAACCGTAAGTAAGAGGGGGCTACACACTTTCAAAGCCAGCATCCCCCCCCCACCCTGCACATATTTCCTCCAATAAGTCTGTACCTCCTAAATCTCCCCCAAACAGTGCCACCAACTGGTGACCAAATGTCCAAGTACATGAGCCTATGGTGGATCTTTCTCATCAAAACCATCATAGTCACTAAGTGCAGTTAGTGTTGCCTATAAGGGCATGGGTAGGGGCAATCCAATGGATCATGGGAAATGGATCAGTGGATACATCCTCTAAAAAGAATGATTCTTCCTTTCTCTGCAACTACCCACTGCCAATAACAACTCAGTCAGAGGTGGGGCCTGGAGATTGTCTACCCCATTGATGCTAGAGTCCTGTCTAGCTTGATCACAGGTAGATCTTGTATAGTAAGCAGAGCTGCTATGAGTTCATGATGGTGACAGCTATGCCCGGTCCAGAAGACAGTATTTCACAGCACTCCTCCTCATCCTTCCAATTTTATATTCTTTCCACCTTCTTTCCCAAGATGTTCCCAGAGCCTTGGTGGTGGTGGCATTAATATAGCTGTCCCATTTAGAGCTGAGCACCCACTCTCCTATTCCCAGCACTTGGAACAGTCACGTGTCTTGCCACTGATTGCGACCCTCTGCAAACAGCTTTCCTGACCAAGGTTGAGAGCATCCCAGGTCTATGGGTATAAGCATAGATATTTGGAAGGCAATTCGACAGCATGATCATTTAGCTAAAGTAACAACAGCAGGTTATACTCCAGGGCCAATGATCTTTCCCAGCCATGGGCTTTTGACTGGGTTCACAGTATTAGGCATGAAATTCCTCGCTGTGGAGCAGGCCTCACATCCAGTCAAAACCCTGCATACCTTACCAACTTGCTGGGCAGGATGGACTGGTACAGTAGTGGCCTGACCGGCATGACCATATGGGGTCACAGAACTTGCAGGGCCTTAAGTGACCTCTTCTCTCCCACTCACACAGTTGAGTTGCTCCGTGTGATTCTCCTCAACAGCACTGCATCGGAGTCAGGTCTGTACCACCGTTTCACTTTCTCACTTCCTTTTTTCTTTTACCTTTAAAACAGGGGTTCTCAACCTTCCTGATGCTGAGACCCTTTAACACAGTTCCTCGTGTTGTGGTGACCCCTCAACCATAAAATTATTTCATTGCTACTTCATAACTTTAATTTTGCTGCAGTTATGAATCATAAGGAAATATCTGTGTTTTCTGATGGTCTTAGGTGACCGCTGTGAAAGGGTCATTTGACTCGCCCCCCATGGGTTGAGAACCAAGGCTTTCAAAGCTAAGGACAGGTTTCAAGGTAGGCTTCTAGGATTGAATGTAAGTTTGTAGGCCTTGTTCAACTGTGTTGGCTTCTTTGCAGGGAGAGGGTTTTCATCATCTTTCAGAGCATTTCAAGTGCTGAGGTGGAAGTGAGGGAGGGGGGAAGGGTACCATTGGAGGAGCTCATCGTTTCTTGTTGGTGATGCACATTTGCAAGGATGTTGACAAATGAGCCAGGGGGCAGATGAGGTACAGAGCAGGAGGAAACTTGTTTTGAACAGGGAATTGACTCTGAAATTCAATTTGTTTTGATTAGCTAATACATATTCATGTTCAAACTTCAGGAGATACAAGGGTTCATTACTGTAGAAACAGTCCATTTCCCACCACAGCCTCTAGCTGTCAGGTTACCTCCAAAGAACAAAAAATTGTTACTATTTTCTGGCTATCCTTCTAGGAATATTTTGAACATACAATTTAAAAAAAATCTGCCCATCTTTATCTTATGATCTGCTCACCATCAACACAAATCACTGGACATGATAGACTGATGTTTTTCCAGGTAACCATACATCTTGAAGGTGTTTCAATACATTAATATAATTATTTCATTTTGAAAATATCCATTAAGCAGGGTATCCCAATTAGCTTTAATTGTCAACCTGGCACAGCTTAGAGTTACCTGAGATGGGAGTCTCAACTGGAGGATTTCTCAGATCAGATTGGCCTATGGACATGTTTGTGGGGGGTTGTCTTGATTATTAGTTGATGTAGGAGGACACAGCCCACTGTGGGTAGCACCATTCCTTGGGCTGTATAAAAAAGCTAGCTAAGCATAAGCCCAGAAGCCAGCTAGCTTGTGTCATCCTCCATAGTTCTTGTTGTATTTTTTGGCAATGAAGTGAGAGCTTTGATCAGAAGTAATGCTGTGTGAAATAGCAAGTTGGCCTGCTTTCAGGTTCCTGCCTTGACTTCCCTCAGTGATGGACTGTGACCTGGAAATGTAAACTAAATATATATTTTCCTCCCCGACATTGCTTTTAATCAGAGTGCTTTTTCACAGCAACAGAAAGGAAACTGGAACACAGGACATAATAATAGACAATTAGACTGTTTTCTTGCTTTGCTCTCAGAAACAAAAAAAACATTAGAAGCATGAATTACTTCATAAGTACATTACTTTCTATATAATTGAGATAGATGAGAGACAAATTGTTAGAGATGAAATTATTAAGTCAAAAACTACACATCTATAACTTGACAGTGCCAAATTTTCCTCAATCAATGCTTTCCCAGATTACAACCCTCCATCAATGGATGAATTTTATTATCGCTCTTGGAACTGCATGTTTTACATGTACAAATGATAATATGTATGCTAGTTTTATTTTGATTTCATTTTGTTTTTGTGGTGGTGGGGCACCGAACCCAAGTCCTTCCAGTGTTGGATGGGTGCTCCATTACTGAGAGTTTTTAACCAGTTTTGTATCTCGCCACTGCCTGAAGTCCATTGCAATCCCAGTTTATTTGTTTATGTTTGTTTGTTGTTTATGGACATGATTGAACATTTATTTATGTGATCTAAGGCTGTTGTATTTCTTTTCCTGAGAATTATCTGTTTGTGTGCTTTGTTCTTTTTTTCCATCGAGTTGTTGGTAACTTTCTGACCATGTGAATTTGCAGAAGAGTTTAATGTATCATGAGAGTAGACTGCTCACCTGCGATCGGGACTGCAAACACTTTTTCTAGATTCATCCTTTGGGGGAGATTTTCCCACATCAATGTCTCACTTCAGGAGCTAAAGGGATGACTCTGTCAGCAGAGTGCTTGCACAGCATGAGGACCCGAGTTCAGAGCTGGCCCCAGAATCTGAGATGTGTCTAGTCTGCCACTCTAGACCGTGGCGGCTGAATTGTCAGCCCCTAGTAATAAACATTCGCTTTGGGTTCTGATCTTCATTTATTGGTCCCTCTAAGCATCCTGGAACCAACTTCGAGCATTGGTGTTTCAGCCCCTGTAGAAACAGGGCTCATTACCTGTCCTGCCATTGAGGAAGCAGATGCAAGGCATTAAACACAAAGTGAGGACACCTACTGTGTACGTGACACTATGCTACCTTTAAGCTGTGAGTGACACTGATACCATCTAGTCCCACTGCTCACTTTATAGCCAAGGAAACTCAGGCGTCTCATAGATCTGATGACTTGCTTCAGGCTCCACAGACAAGTCAGTTAGCACTTAAATCTTTCTAGAACTCTCTCTGGCTCCAG